AAGAACAGATCATCATGTTTCGAAAATGCAATAAAAATACAGCTTGTTTTAATTAGTACGGTTGCCAAACCGGTGCCGACATTGCGGTTTGTGTCTCAGAAATTCTTGATCGATAGACGTATGATTGTCTTTCTCGCTAGTTTCAAAGCACGGCAAAGGTTGCTTTAGCCAGAGAAACCATTTTAATAACAAACGGCTTTCGTCGAATAGCAGTATCAGCGAACTGAATGTTCAGTCTTTCGGATTGATCAAGTCTGTTTCTCTGAAGCTTGTATCATTGCGTTAATGAAGTTTTTATTGAGCAGTACTGTCATTTAGATTCTTTTACCATGAAATTATTTGCAGTTGTTCATTGTTGGTAGGTTTTGTTTACTAAGACGACTTAAAATGATGCACATGTGGCGATGTAATTCGTTCTTGTTCATAAGTTTTGCGGGATATCGCCTGCATATTAGCCTTATCGATATTCCCTGTCATCCACTCTCTACGTATAAATCCAAGAGTATTGAATGCGCAAATCTTTGTGTAACATTCTGGTAAACTTGAATAAACTTTCTAGTTACGCTATAAAGCTAAAGGAAAAAAAGAATTTAATGAAATAATTGTTCCACCCGTCGGGAGCATGGTACTTATGAGCCAGCGTTTTATCTCTTGTCGGATTCCATGGACAGAGTGAATTTTTATCGCCGGTTGACGAATAGATAGTTTTTTATCGTAGCTTGTAGTGCGAAGGGATGAATTGTTTTATATCATTGTTTTAAAAACGAACAGGCAGCGATTTGGATTAGCTTATACAGGTGTTGTGCGCTTGCTGCGGTCGGAAAAGGAGAGAAATTTTACCCATTCAAGTTATAGTTTCGTGTGCTGAATTTCTGCTGCAAGTAGAGGATGAAATTTGCCGTTTGAAGTCACTTTTCCGGACTTATATCTTCCAGCCGCGAGTGCTGTAATGTGATTTCAGGGAGATGAGCAGTTACGGACTTGTGGCTTCTCGCTGGCGTTGAAAGCGAATTCTTTAAACAGTTTTGCCTCCGGTTCGAAGATAAAAACTTGGCTGCTTCATAACATGTAGAAGTGGAAGGTCGTGTCGGGCGAAAGTGCAGTGCTTCATCTTTTTCAGTGGACGACATCGTTCACGGTGTAAAATACGTTTTCACGTCGGTTGCCGTATGTCTCGATATGGTTCCTCCCGCGGTGCTCAGACACTGTATGACAGATCTTGTATCTATCTTCACGAAGATTTTCAAATCGTGTTTGCGCAGCGGAAAGCGCACCTACCACTCATCTTAACACCTTTGCAGTCCCGTTTTGACCCACGTCAGTTCGGCTTTTGGAACGGCAAGAAGCACCACAGACACATTGACTACGCTGGTTCGCTAGGTTACATAGCAGTTTGGTAAAAGAAAGAGCACAGTATGGCATGCTTTCCTTGACTTCTTTGCCTTCGCTACCATGTCACGTAACCGGCATGTGGAGGTTGTGAGGCAGTCCATCCCTGATCCGTACGTTGTGAGATATGTTATCAATTCGATCGCACCTTATCCAGCTACCGTTGAGCCAGTGCTAGCAAATAATACTGGCGTTCCTCAAGGATTGGCTTTCTCCCTTCTGCTTTTTCTGTGTAGGTTTGATTCGCACCTGCCTGAAGTTAGCCCGTCGACGCGGCGGTGGTAGCGACAGTAGTAAGCAAAGCAAGTCTTTCTGGTCGTTTTGCGGCGGTAAAGAAGGTAGAGAGCTGGTCACATTGAATAGATTAAGCTGAATGCCGTTTGTTAACCCGTAACACACGCTTTAACCTGCTTCTGGACATTGTATCGACTCCCTGACGATTAGTGGTTCCGTCTGTGAAGTCATTTCACTATCTTGGAATGCATCTCACTGGCTGTTTAGCCTATCAGAGCACGTGCAGTTTATAATGTTGAACATGCAGCAGGTATCCCACGTTCGAAGATTGCGGTAGTCGGGTGCGTCCATTTGGCCTCCTTGGCAGCGCTTTCGCTGACATGTTGCTTATGTTGTGGCGTATTCAGCACACCTGTTCTTTAGCGTTTGATCGCTCAACGAATGTGATGTTGCAAGCCAGCTCGCTATTTGATGTTTTCTGCCCTATCAACGGATGGCGGCAGCAATTGCGACTATGTAATCAACATAAGAATGACCTCTTCAAGATCGCTCTCGACGATCCGACTCATCAGTTAAATGACGTTCTAGCTAGTTGTAAATCAAATGTGAAGGTGATGAGCAACGAGTCTAACTATTTAACTTTATATACGCCAGAACACTCAACTATGTGTTATATTCCGTCCATATTCTGGGCTCTGACATCTCTTGACACTTTCAGAAGCCTTGTCAAGTTGAATTTTTCATCAATGGTCCTGCCGCGCATGTCTTCTCTCTTCTTTATTGTATCATTTTGATTTTTACTTCTCTCGCTAAACATTCGCTGAAAGGTCGGTGTTCGTACCTCCATAGCAGAAAACTTGACTTGACTCTCCGTTTTGTTTGCCCATTTATGTTAACTGGTACTTCTACGAAGCATCAGTGTAGAACAGAAATATGCGCATTTTCACAAGTCTTTGTGATTTTGTTTTCATATAATCTTATGACAAATCAAGGCGAATCTCAAAATTAGTCTTTTGTAGCACCCTACTTATTTCTACGAAAGTAGAGAATTAAGGAAAGAATGGTTGGTTGCGACAACGGTAGGCACACCTGGCTACAGTATGCGCAGTTATACCACTTTTTTTAACTTCAAAGAATCGAAGTAATCTCTTTAAGGCATTGTTAACTTTACACAGATATCTACTTCCTCTCTCAGCTGTTTGCTGTCAGCCATGTGTCTTGTGGAGGCACGATGTCACAATTGTGATTCAACGAAGTGACAAGTACGTCACCTGGTCCGGTGATAACGTTATGGAATCGATACCGCGAATGACAGACGGTAGGCATCTGATGAGCTTCGGCGCTGTCAATGGCTTAATCATCAACGGGGCCCTATTCTCTCATAAGCGAATTCAGCGGACCACATAGACAGCTGCAGTGGCAGCCCGCAAACCATCCAACTAGACCATGAGTCGAGCAGCCGCAAATGGCACCGTCATAATCGAGGCTCACATCATTCGTGGCTCACATATTGGACCTAATCACTTTATGATCGTTGTTGAACGATAACTGTGCTACGTTGACGTCTCTTTGAAAAACGTCGGTATCTCTATTATACAGATTAACATGTGACGAATTGCGGCCCACCTACCAAAAGGAGATCGGAGCTATTTTAATATCCCCTTAATGGAAATGCCCTCGCGGGAAGTGG